TACCATATAATGTGGGATAGATTTCATGCCTCAAAACCATGTAGTGTGGTACCTGCGTTTTTTTGATTCATTGCTTTTAAGTGTTTGGCAAGCTTTTGTAATCTTTGAAGTGTATGCAACAGATGGAGAATATATTGGTCATGGGTTTCATATGTCACGAAGTGTCCATCTCTTCGGTACTTGGATTCTCCTGTCTTACACCATGAATAAATATTTTTTTCATCCCATTATTTCAAATATCACAATTTCAATTCTCCCACTGATCTTTAGCGTTTCTATGCTACCACCAAGTCTCTTTATATATCCCTTCATTTCGAAGAAACCAAGATGTTTTTATAGGTATTGTGTTTTTTCTTATTTCTGCTATTCCCAAATCGAATACTCTTTACGTAGAGTGTTATATATTGCCAACTCTGTATTACCTCTCTCTAAAGTTTTATTATCATAAATCATACTCGTAGCACACTATAAATTTTTTTTGAATGAGCCCTAAAAAAGGTCTTCATAATTAGGAATCCAAAGATATGTCTTAACATGCCACATCTTTTTAATTTACTGCAGAATAGAACTTGAGCATCCCATGATAAAAATATGATATCTCTCAACTCATAAAGAGTTGATCCTTAAATCCTTTTGAGTATTGAAATAGACTCAAAAAATATAAAATGGTGCTCAGTTTCATCCTTAAATCATATCATTTAGTAAATATTCATTTTAGTGACATTTACCTCACAATGCAAATTTCTTTAGTTGAAAATCAGGTTGAGCACCTCTCAACAAAAAATTTGTTTCTCTCAATCCTCAATGAATTTCTTTTTGAAATATTTTGTGTTTAAAACTAGACTCAAAACCAAATCATAACATCATATTTTGAATCCCAAATAATATTTTTCTTTAGAGAAATAAATAAGTGACATTCACGTCACAAAATAAATCATATTGCAGAATTACAGGATGAACACTATCTAGTAAAATTGTCTTTTCTCTCTACCATCATGGAGTTTCCCTTTCAAACCAATTTTGTTTGAAATTAGACACATAATAGTAATACATACATTTTCACAAGCCTTATGTCATTTTGTTAAGTAAGCTTGATAAATATAGATATTCATGTTTTCAATGAAGGACATACCAAATTACAGAAAATTCAGGATGACCTCTCTTCAATCCAAAATTTTTATTCCTCTCTTCCCATAAATATTTCTCTCTCAAATAAATTTTATTATAAATTAGACTTAGAATGGAAGTCTAAAAACTTAGTATGAACCATAAAACATTTTGTTAATAATAGAAATTAAATCTTAACTCTCAAGTCATGAAAATAATTTTTGTTGTAGAAAACAACACTTGCGCATGCTTCAATAAATTGATCTTATCTTTCAAACCACAAGAACTTTCTTGATGAAACTTTTTTTATTTGAAAGTATACTCAATTTTATGAGTTGCAGTCCAATTTCAGCTAGAAATAAAATCATATGATTGGTGAGAAAAATTACGGAACGCAATAGATAGTTCTTGAATTTTGCATGGTCAGAATTGACACCCTTCATTGTTGAGTCCATAACTCTCAATTCCTAGAGGATCTCCACCTGAAATTTTACAGCTAAAGCCTATTATTAAATACACAAAATATCACTGAAGTATGTAATAGAAAATAACCTCATTATATTCTTCATATCACTACTCCAATATAGCCCAGAATACTCATTATGCAGAGTGCCTTTTCGGTGTTGGAATATTTCAATAATTCTTAACTGTGGGTGTATTTCTTTACCACAAAGTTCACTAGCTTTCTTATGTCTCATTCTCAAGCTTGATCTAAACTCAATAAAGAAAAAAGATAACTAATGGCATCAAGTATGAATAGCTCTGATATCAATGAAAGAAAGACCTATGTGATCTTTTACCGGGGAATAACATTTTTCTTTTTTCTTCACCGTTTTTTTTGTAAAAGATCACTTACATGTGGTCTTTATTATAATAAGATAAAATTCAAAATAAAATCAACATAACAATAAAACTAAGATCTTAACAACTTGATGCCATTGAAACAACTATGCACTATGCTTGAGAGTAAAAGATAAGATTGCAAGAAACAAAAGGACGAGTGCCGGATATTACCTCAACCGGGCTTATTACACACCACACCGAGTCACCACCATCCGATGACACAGGATCAACAGCCTACCTTCAATCTCGAACCGGGAAAGCAAATTTTGGCCAAGCCACACCAATGGTATATGAACCCCTTTGATCACAAACTTAAATCCTAGGTGAATTCTCTTAGCAACTTAGTTTGAGAGAGATCGATTCTCTTTTTGCTAAACCCTAAAACCCTTAGCCGTAAATCGAAATTTGAGAGATAGGAGAGAGAAGAACTTCATAACCTAAACCCTTAGGTTCTTTCACAATGTGGGAAAGAGAGATCAAATATGAGAGAGATAAACTTTCTTAAGGGAGAGAGGTAGAAAGATAAAGTGTAGAGATTTTGGGTAGAGACAATCCATTTTTTATAGGCTTGAACAAGATTAGGGTTTCTCAGAGTTTTTCTTGGCTTGCCTCTTCTTGTGAGATTAAACATAGACCGTCGATCAAGGGTGACTTGTGGGTGAAAGATTTGAGCCATCCATTCCATAGATGGGTCATCAACATTATGGAAGGTGCATGGACCATTATCCCCTTTTCCTTAACTATTTTCCCATCAATAGAAATTAGATAAATTAAATCTAATTAAAATATTATGCATTCCATAATCTTTCACAAAATATTCCAAAGATATATCAAGTCAATATACATTTTCAATAATTGGTCAATATATGGTCAAAATATTCCATATCTTATTTGACCACATGCCATAACATAATATTACCAAAACATGAAATAACTTAAACTCCAAGAAAGAATCCAATGGGTGGGGCGTGCCACCCATGTGTGGCACACGTGGGCCCCACCCACTTGACACATGGTGGGCTCATGTGCACTATGGGCCCCTCCATGATATTTTATATAATTTTAAATTATCAAAAAAAAATTTAAAACATTATTTGAATTTTATAATTTTGTAAAATCAATATCTTCATTTTTATAAGTCCAAAAAAAATTTATAAATAAAATATCAAATAACTCATAAAAATTCAAATAAAAAATTCTAAAATAATTTCTATCATAAAGCAAACATAATTAAATTAACTTGATTGGAAATGGATCCATATGGTTAAGGAATTTAATCTTGAATCATGGGGCCCTCCACCGTCAACTGTGGACTACGTACTACACTTGCCTTATTGAACCGACTTAGTGTTTTCCATGACCCACAGTCCAAGCAGGAGCTCATTAGCGGGTCACCAAAGTTTGGCGGATAAGTCAAGGGGTGACAATCCCAATATGCGGATTACAGGTCATCCCTTAAGGATAAGTCAAGGTCACCAAAACCTTATGTGACCACAACTTTATATCGCATAGGGGTATCTCTCGTACATGCATACGTTTCACCCTGAAAGATGGATTTCTGGCTTTCTCGAACGATCTTTCGATATGCATACCGTATGATGGTACATGGATGATGTTTTGGCCCCTATCTCTGTAGGCCATCATCACACACAAGGGTCACACAATCCCTCGGCTCACTCATCCAGGCATGTTCTCTGACCTCATCAAGGGTAAACCCATAAACCATCATCGGTTTGTTCTTCATGCCCAGGTAACATGGATTTTTTCCAACTGACTGGCCTAGATCGTTAAGCACAGATCGGTATCAGTAAACCATCGTTTGTTTAGTATGGTCCACGAGGGACCACACTCTTACTGAGTTCATGTTCCACTATATCATTTCATTTTATAATCACTTATAAAGCCTTCAAAGGGCAAATAAACCCAACAAAATCAGCAGTGAACACAAAGGGTGCAGAATCATAAAAGGTAATTTTTTTTTTTTGGACTTATAAAAATGAAGATATTGATTTTACAAAATTATAAAATTCAAATAATATTTTAGAATTTTTTTGATAATTTAAAATTATATACAATATTATGGAGGGATCCATAGTGCACATGGGCCCACTATGTGTTAAGTGGGTGGGGCCCACATGTGCCACACATGGGTGGCACGCCCCACCCATTGGATTCTTTCTTGGAGTTTAAGTTATTTCATGTTTTGGTAATATTATGTTATGGCATGTGGTCAAATAAGATATGGAATATTTTGACCATATATTGATCAAATATTGAAAATGTATATTGACTTGATATATCTTTGGAATATTTTGTGAAAGATTATGGAATGCATAATATTTTAATTAGATTTAATTTATCTAATTATGGTTAAAAAAATGGGGATAATGGTCCATGCACCTTCCATAATGTTGATGGTCCATCTATGAAATGGATGGCTCTGATCTCTCACCCCACAAGTCACCTTTGATCGACGGTCTATGTTCAATCTCACAAGAAGATGCAAGCCAAGAAAAACCCTAAGAAACCTTAATCTTGTTCAAGCTTATAAAAAAATAGATTGTCTCTACCCAAACTCTCTACACTTTATCTTTCTATCTATCTCTCTTAAGAAAGTTTATCTCTCTCATGTTTGATCTCTATCTCCCACATTGTGAAAGAACATAAGGGCTTAGGTTATGGAGTTCGTCTCTCTCCTATCTCTCAAATTTGGATTATGGTTAAGGGTTTTAGGGTTTAGCAAAAAAAGAATTCATCTCTCTCAAACTGGGTTGCTAGGAGAATTCACTTAGGGTTTGAGTTTGTGATCAAAGGGGTTCATGTTCTATTGATATGGCTTGGCTGAAATTTGCTTTCCCGGTTCAATATTGAAGCTGGACAGTTGATCCCGCGCCATCGGATGGTGGTGACTCGGTATGGGGTATAATAAGCCCGGTTGAGGTAATCTCCAGCACTCCTCCTTCTGTTTCTTGCAATCTTATCTTTTATCTTAGCAGGATTTTTATAACTTATTCCATTGAGTTTGACACCATATAACTCAACAGTCAAGCCTACTTGTTCAGCATTGTACTCATAATTCCATCTAACCCTAGATTGCCCAAGTTCTTAGCCCAATCCAACTCGGGAATCACCTGAGTTAGACTGATCAAATCCAAACCAAATACCTGGAAATTCAAGCCCCAATTCTGATTCACATGTCACATTTTCTTTGGTTTTAGATGAATGGGCAGTCCTAGGCGAGGAGCAGGCGTGGGATCCCTAGTGATTCCTTCACTGGGACAAGCCAGTGTACAATCATACTTGGTGACTATATAATGAATGGCAACCAAAGTTTCTACCCTTACAAAGTCATATCCAAGACATATTCTTGCTCCCCCACCAAAGGCCACAAAACTATAGGGAACTGTAGGACATTGTCCCTCTGAACGCATAGGATCAAATTAAGAGGGTTCTTTGAAGATGCTCTCATCCATATGTGTAGTGCAAGCTACCCAAACGACTTGTACCACCATAAGTTACACATGAGAAAGAGAGATTTGTGCATGTCACCAAAAAGACTTTTACCATCAAAAACCAATAATACGCATAACTGGTAATGGTCCAAGCAGCCCGGCCCGGCCCACAAAAAGTAGGGCCTAGGACACAAATTGTGACCCCAGCATTGGGGTTGGGCCAATGCAGTCGGCATTGGCCTAAATACATCACTCTTTTTTTTTCTGTTTTTTTTATTCATTCATTTGTTTTTGGCCCGCCTGGCTCTAACAAAACCTAGGTTGAGCCCATGGGAACAAGAGTCAGGCCGTGCCAGGGTCATACCTTGCCTGGCCTGCAAATTTAGACCTGCAGAGAGAGAAAGACCTACCACCCTTTGGGTATGAGGTATCCCCCATAATGGATGTCTCTCATTGCTTTCCTGAAACTGCCAAAGACTAGAGGGATAATCCTTAGTGTCTCTAGTGCAAGTCTCCATGTATATTTCATCTTACTCAGTTCCTCCCACGTGAGAGGGTCATCAGAGGCTTTGGCACGTGCAACTTCCACTTGGTCTGTGACATTGAAATTATACCATGAAGCCTTTGTTGAAATAGAATAAAAAAGGAAGCATAGGACCAAAGTCCAAAAGCATAAATCATGTGAGTTTGCCTACTAACGCCACAGTCTTATTCAGTTTGGGAATGTTTGATTCATGTGGAGCGCTTTCCGAAGTCCCTAAAAAGTTTTGATCAGTGATTTGGGAACCGCTTTTCCAGATGCTACAGCAACTGTTGTCTTTCTAGAAAACAAATATGGAAATGCAACATCTAGATTAATGATTTCAAAACCGGTAGTCTGGACCAGGAATCGTCAATCAAAATAGGGAATAGGTCCAAACCATCCCGCTCCTTATTAAAATTGGGAATCAATCCAATTTTATAAACTCGTTCAATTCTTTCAAAAAATTGTGCGAGCTTGTCGAAACTAGGCGATGCACACCAACCGAAACCCCCGTTTCCACAATATCTTTTCATTCCCACCCCTGCCCCTCTCTTTATGGACTGATCCTCACATAAGAGAATTGGTCCAATTTGCTATTCATATTGGCTATTCACCTCTCCATACCGGTTTTATGAATGCTCGAATTGCCCAAATCTGATCTAGCTTTTTAAACGTCCAGAGACAAAGTTACTTCCCCCTAGACAAATGTGCCCTTTCTATGCCTTTGGATCAAAGAAAGTTGTTAAACCCATCAATGCACCGGTGAGCTCAAGCCCAAACTCATTTGCACTATTAGAAGGGTATACAAAGAGACCATGTACTTTTGATATAAAGAGGTTACAATCACTCTTATCCGTTTAGATTTCAAATTAGGTGGGCATAAGCATGTCATTGACTAGGTTTAAAATTTAAAAAAAAATCTCGAACTTCGTGACACACCCTAAGCTGTTCGATTTGAATCGGATGGTTAGGGTTATTTGTGACAGCCTTGTAATAAAGCTAAATAGTCCCATATTATATAAGGATTGTCTACAAATAGGCTATTTATCTCTTACACATGGAAGTCACAGTCATTTTTACCCCTTAAATTTGAAAATGGGTGGTTGTAAAAGTGTCATTGACACAAAATTCCAAAAAAAATTTCTCGAACTTCGTAATTCACCCTAAGCTATCCAATTTGACATCTAATGAATGAAAATGGTTGTGATCTCCATGTAAGATAAATGGTCTCTTTGTAGACAATCCCTATTATATAATCACTTTAATATTTATATCGTGATAATGGTCAACAGGCAAAAACCAAACTATTGACATATGGTGATGCTCAATGCCTCCCTAATGTGGGAACCTCAATCGCCCATTTTGTCCACCCACTTACCAATTTACGCGTGGATATTAAAATTTTAGGAAAATACGAAATGCTCCACTTATATGTAAAAATTACAAAGAAGGTCGATTAACTTGCTTTTTTTTTTTTTAAAATTGCCCCTTGGTCAACTTGAATTTTGATTATTATTTTTTTAGCATTTTTGTTAGTAGGGTAGTGCCATAAAGTTTGCGGTACTAACTTAGTAACAAAAAGTTTAAAAAAATAAAAATAAAAAATAAATATAAAAAACTAAGAATAAAAAATAAAATTCGGGTTGGCTGAAGGGTAATTTTGAAAAAACTAGAAAAAACTGGTTGACCTTTTTTGTAATTTCTGTCTTTAAATGAAGCATTTTGTACTTTACCTAAAATTTTAAGATCCGCATGTAAATTAATCTTTGTTTTTCTTTTTTTCTTTTTTTCTTTTTTTCTTTTTTATTTTTACAGATGGCGAAAGGAAGCGGTTTCTATTAGTCGGCCAACTCATCTATTTAAATGAATCCTCTCTCCTAAATATCCTCATTTTCAAGAAACTCTTACCATTGTAAACCCCTGCATATAGAAGGGAATCCATAGCTAGAAGACGAATCAAAAAAGTCATGAGGATGGAAGAAGTGTCATGGCCAGCCACCATTGCAAGAATCACATTATCAATCATCTCATCCTCACTCAGTGTCCTTCTACCATCTTCACCCTTAATACTGACCAAAGACGTAATGAGGTCTTTATGCAAAGGCCCACTTCCTAACCCAACTTGAGCTTTCTTAACCCTTATTAGACCGGCTAATACTTTCCTAACCCTATTGCTGGTACTTAAGCTCCTGTTGAACCTAGTGAATGGGACATTCAAAGGCACATAACAAAACCCATCTAGCATGCATTGGAAATCACTCATTAGTTGTTCTCTC